TCGAGTGACAGTTAAAACTGAATATTCTTTATGTTTGTGCGCCATAGGTTTAATAAATTTATTACAGAATTACTAGATTTAAAGTAATAAAAATTTTAGTTTCGTTACAAATTCTAATATTAAATCTTAAATTATTTTACTTATTTACTTTTTTATTTCAATATGTAAATAATCTTCATTAAACTAAATATAATTCTAAAAAATTTTATGGTTGTTATCCACCTGTTGCCTGAAATAGCCTAATAACTTGATTATTCATTAAAAAAATGTGGAAGAAAATTTTACATTCGCAACTAATTCATTTAATTTTAAATCCCACGGACTCACTAACAATCTAATGAAAAGTTTCACTTTCCTCCCAGTGGATAAGAAACAAGTCTTGCCCATATCGTCGTATTGATAAAATACGGACAGTTTGCTAATACATAATTATGCATGATAAATTTTATAATCCTACAGCTTTATATTAAACATAAAAAAATGCTGTACAATATTTTAAAATCAATTGAACGATAATAATATTACAGTTACAATTAAAGATATTAATATTTGCTTTGTTCAAAAGAGCACAACAAATATATTAATTGTGAATTATTAATGAAAAAAAAAACAACTTTGTTTAATTTTTCTTATTAAGTGATAGATATGGAGTAACTGCAAATATTATCTATAACTCAATATCATTGCAAGTTATATAATTTTTATTTCCTAAGCTATAATCTATTCAATTACTCAAATGAAATGTATCAAATAATTCAAATATTTATTAATTACAATTTAATTATAAATTTAAACTATGAGGCGTTGGATTGGTTTAAATATTCTATTAATATTTTTAAGCGAATTGTGTTCTTAACAAATTATTTTATAGAAATGCACGAAGTTCTTAGATTAAATATTACTCTAAGTACTGTATTTACAGTTTGATTATAGCTACAGTAAAACTTAACAATAAACAAATCTAATGACAGTATCATTTTAGTAAAACTGAAATGTAAATCAATGATTTATGAAAATGTCAAAAATATTTTATTCATCAAAATTTTTAAATGAAATGATGACTAATCTCACGTTTATAAATTATTTGTTTTTTTTTTTTATCCAATGCTTTTTGATCAATTTTGTTATTTCATTGAATAAATATTGTTTATCAAATTTATAATAGAGATTAAAATTGTTTATATTATAAAATTATTTATTCGTGCATTAGCCTACATTGTAGCTAATGAACAAATAGATTTAATTTAACCAATTTCTCGTATATTCTTTTCGAAATATATCTCTATCATTTTTATGTTTGTAAAGAAATAAAATAATATTCGCAAAGAATATTCTAACGCCAATATTACTATTACTACTGCAAGAAAAATATAAATATATACATTACTATAGGATAAACTTAATTTGAAGCCATATAGCAAGAGAGAGAAAGAGAAAGAGAGAGAGAGAGAGAGAGAGAGAGAGAGGCCGCAAATAAAAGAATCTCTCAAGAATCAGAAAAGTTTGAAATCTCATTTTAGTATCAATGATTATTATTCATTATTATTATTATCATCATCATCATCATCACCGTCGTCGTCGTCATCATCATTATCATCATCGTCGTCGTCGTCGTCGTCATCATCATCATCATCATCATCAGCATCATCATTATCATCTTAATAATTATTATTTTTTAATTTAAACTGTAATTTAGAACATTAACACTATATTAACATTTTGTTAAGAAACTGCGGATCATTTAAAGAGAAAATTAGATATTTACATATGTTTTTAAAATTCAATTTCTGCTTTATTTAAATATTAAATAGAAAGTAGTTGGAAAATATGGATACCATTGCTTTATGTTTTCTTCTCTTCCAACCTTAACATATTATTTTGCTAGACAGGTGACGTATACATCCCGTTCTCGTTAATTGTAATGACATACCTTGAACCAATTTAGGAACTTGTACTTCCTGAATCATGACCTCTTTGATATTTTTCGATAGATCAATGAACAATAGGCTTTTAATTCAATTAAGTCTTTGAGAAATTTTATCCGTATTATTACGGGATAATATTAAACCTGGACGAATGTGTTAAAGGAACTTTTGTATTGAAATAGACTGTCAAGATAGTTTTATTATCGTAAAATAAATAGTAATTCGTAGGAAGACAATAACGTGCTATATCGATGTATATAGTATTTTACGTAATTATAAGTTTATATAGTAGTTATTGCTTTAAAATAATTATAATTCTTGATTGTATTGTTGATAAAGACTAATAGGAATTGACATTTCTTGTTCGTGATTAATGAATTATATTATATCATTAATTATAAGTAGTATTAATTGTAAAGATGTTAAAATTCAGCAAGTTGCATAACTAAGAATATTAATGGAAAGTTTCAAATGTAGTTGAAGAATTCGTATTTTCACGTTTGGTAAACAGTTTCCGGATTTATTGATTTATTGAGAATAAATACTTCGGTAAATTGTTCAAACTGAATTTTTAAAAACCATTAATTACAATCTCTTTTATTAATATACTTCCAACTTATAATGATCATTATATTTCACACAAGTTGTTTTTATGATCAATCAATTATTATATTATATGCACTCAAAGATCGGGGATACAATGTACGACGACATATGACACCACTGAATTATATGCATTATTATGATTATTATGCATAATAATAAAAGCAGCATTACATTATTAACATTACATCGTTTACCTCGATAATGTAAGCATTTAAAAATATTTGCTCGGATTAGATTACTCGATTACAGTGAGTGGAATACGTGGATACCTTGGTAACACCCAGTTTAACGATATCCTTCAATTTAAGGTTCAGCGATCGTCGACAAGAATACGGAGTTCAGAAATATTAATTTCTACCTACAGGATTGAGTAGAAACAGAAAAGTGAACCGTAAATTTTCTTACTGAATGTGACTAAAGAATCCACGAGACAAGAGTTACCAAGTGCAGAGAGCAAAGAGCAAAGATCGAAAGCAGGAAGGAGGTGTACGTTTGATACCTGATGTCTCTTATAAGCGGATTACGTATTAACCCGTATTTCGAGCAGCGAGAAAACAAAATGGTTGACCAGCAGGCGAACTTAAAACTTAAGGAGATTAAAAATTAACCCCACGTTCTCACTCCTTGTCGCTCAGTGCGCGCTCATCTTATTTGGTTTGGTTCCAAAGCGCACAAAGTAGATTAGCAGCACATGCAGCTCTGCTTGTGCACACGAAGTATAACATTACCCGGAGACTTGCTGATCCTGTTACATCCTGCCCTGGAATTAAAAATATTGTCAACCAGTAGGATTACGCTCGAAGATATTATGCTCGTACTAGTCAAACAGACAGCACGAATATTTGCGATATATAACTATTATAAAGAAGCCGAGGAATTCCGCTACCCAAAATCATCATCACGGATTTTAACGCTAAGTTTTCGATCATTTGAACTTTCAGCAATTCTCTCTCCTCCTGCGCGAGATCCTCCGATCTTCGACTTGTCGAAAAACTCGTTTTTAACTCTCCCATCCACGTCCCATCTGCACTTCTTCTCTCTCCCAACGCCTAAGATGGATTTCAAGCTTAGAAGAAACGAGCTCTCGAAAGTCCGTCGACCTCGAGATCATATGGTTCTAGACTATTGTTCAAATTTCAAGCGCCACAAATACAACAAACTTTTTACAAATCATCGAATCATAAAAAGATTATTGGCCGTGAAATAAAATTACATAATTATTTCACATTAAAGCATTGAATAATCTTATTAAAATATTCTTCAAATTTTTATGCGTCGCGGCTGCTAACTTCTAATTATCGTTATAATGTTCATTAAGAGACATCTATGATTGTTACAATCTACGTTATAGACACGCGTTTATTGTTGAATTATTGATAATACAACAATGTTGTTGATTATAACTTGTTGACTTTTGATTTTTCACGTAGAAAGAATCTTAATTTAAAAATCAGTGAATATTGGATGATAGTTTTAAATAAATTTTTACGACAAGTTCTGATAAACATAATATAATAAATAATGATAAACATAAAATTATAACAATTCATTATTAATGTTATAAATAGAGTTAATAATATACTTATAATTTTAATCATCGTGGAATCTAGTTTTTTTTTTTTTCATTAGTCTAATAAAACATTAGTCTAATAAAGTTTTATTTTTAATGCAAAATAGAATTAACAATTTAATTTCTGAATTGTATAAAATTTAATCGTGAGTAGGATTACGAGTTTCTTTAATCATCATGAATTATATATATATATATATATATATATATAAATTTTAAAATTATAATTTTCATACTAAAATCAAAATGATCTCACTGCTTTACTCGTGCACAATATTTATATACCATATAATAGAAAACATATTATTAACAAATTTTGAATTATTTGAGATAAAATTTTGATAATATTTTTGTCGTAAAATTATTGTCTACGTTTATTGAAGGAACTATTAAGTTGGATGATTATTATTACGAATCGTAATATCTTAGTAACGGATCATTTTTTAATTTATATCTTTTTATTAACCAATTTTATCAACAATTATGCTTTAGAGGGTGTAATGTCTTATATTCAATACAGCTTACGTATAATTATAATTCGTTAAATTAATGTATATCAATTTCACATGAATTTTGAGTATTATGATAATAATGTTCTATTACATTATAAGTTAATAAAATGTAAAATTCCACACTTTGAGCAATAGAAATGATTAAATAGAAAATATAACAAATATTCTATTTTCAATAATTTCGGTAAATACATTCAAAATTTTAAATTATGAATTTAAATTTTGAATTATTTCTAACGAAATACTAAGCCTATTCTATCCTCATATATATATTTCTTGGAATAGAAATGACTGAATATTAATTTGATATTTTTAAATTTCAAGTAAACGGGCAAACCAAAACATTATATTAACATTGTGTGTAGTTATTATATATATTAGAATATTATAGAATCAAATCGAGACTTATGAAAGTATTTCTTAGATTTTTGTATTTCTAATCTTCTAAAAAAAGTCCAATAGGAAATGTGAGTATTAGATAACAAAGGTAAAGCATCGAAATGTGCCTTTCTTTACCTTTGATATTCTTGCAGGACTCTACCTTCTAATTCTTAGTTTTGAGGATTTTATACTTGAATAATTCGATATGATCTTAATCGATCCAGCAAAATATTGATCGCATTCGCAGAAACCTTGCAAGATTCAAACCGGTAAGAGTGAAAATATATCTATTAATTTATTTAGAGAAAAAATAGTGAATTCTGTTTCGTAGATAGATAATAAATATTACACATCCATAACACATTGGTGATTAGAAGCTTCTTGTATCGATAAGAAGAGACAGCTTGCATTCGTGTTAAACCGAATAATTAATTAATAAATAATATTCGTAAGCTAAATCTTGTTACGTTAATACATACATGCATATTGATATAGAGAGTGTGTTGTGTGGGTACACGCGTGCTTATTTATATTGACTAGTAATATATAAATAATATTATTGCTTGCTGCTGTCGGTGCTATAAATATTCAAATATCTTCTCTACACTTATTAAGTAAATAAGTTAATAAAATCGCATTATTTAATGATAATTCCATACTTTCAATAAAGTGATACGTAGTTGTATAAGACGAAGTAAAAACTTAAAAGTATTGATTTTAATCTTTATTTTAAAATTAATATACAGCCTCAATAATATAAAATCTAAAGAATAAGACAATAACATTGACATAGTAAACAATGTTATTTAATTATTCAATTTACCTATTAATACAATTGAATATTATTCTTTATTTAGATAATGAAAGTCTTATTAATATAATGTAGCATTCTTTTTACTATATACTAATAGAAATATTAATGATAAATTTATTGACAAATTTATTTAGACTTGAAGAAAATTGAATTAATTAATTTTATCGATACTTAATTGTATATTTGTAATTAGAATAATGATATTGAATGTTCCCTATCTATATAATTTATAATTATAATTATCAAAAACATTATAAAAGAGATAAAGAATAATAAATATAATTTATTTCCGGCATAGAGATTTTTGGAAAAGATAGCTCTAAGAAAGATAATCTAATAAAAGGATCAACAAATTGTATTGTAAAGAAAGAGAGTTAATCTTTGGGATTGAAGAAGAAAAGTGGATGGGATACGAAAGGTTTATATATGCTCTTAAATATCAACTAGTATAACTCATGGATTTTCCATTTGCTTCAGTAAGTGTGCTTGCTACCTCTCATATTAGCAACTAAACTATTGTTCATAAAGCTATAAAATCACTTTTCCTCTAACAATTAATTTTGGTTTATTTATTATCTAAAAAATATATTTTCTAAGTCACTGTATTTAACTGTCTTATAAACGCTATATTCCAAATTAAATTGAATCCAAATTACTTGAAATTAATACATTGTAAACGCTCTTATGACTTCAAACTTGCAATTATAATTCGTTTCACGTATTATTTTTTTTTTTTAAAAAGTGTGAGCAACTTGTAGAGTCGATATTCTATCAGGAGTCTTTAAAATTTGTATACCAATACTCAACACACAAATATAAATACTTTCTAGTTGTCTCGATATTGAGTATAAATATATAAAGATTGTCTCAATTATTGAAAATATTAATAATATTTCTTAATGGTAATGTTTAAATATTTAGTTTCTAAAACATGTTGTTCATATTATTGTTCACATCCAATTATTTAATGCATATAGAAGTATAGGTATTTATGATTATAACATAATTATTATTAGGCTTGAATGGAAATATAATTTTTATTTTGACTCAAACAGAATATAAAATCATAATAAATCTGCTGTTATATATTTAATTTAAAAATCTTATACATTACTTATATTTGTTTTATATTAGATTGTTTTAATTAATTACAAAATCTTGTAAAATGCATTTTTTTTCTTTTCTTTTTTTTTGTAAAAAGTTATTAGATATAGAATTAAAAGGGATACAGGTAAAAGGAGTGTATATATATATATATATATATATAATTAATTAGAAAATCAAAACTTAGTTAAGAATTAAGACGCATAATTTGATTACTTATGTGTGTTTGAGAAATAAATTGTCCATTAATATTAAAGATCTGAATTTTTATAATGTGTAATATATTTCCGAATACAATGATAAATATACTGTAATAATATCACAATGTATATTATTAAAATCATAAGGATATATCGAATAATGATTAGTACAGTAGATAGATGTTTTATGAGTATATAATAATAATAATTTGAAAAGAACTTTAATATGTTTAATATGTGCTAAATATATATTATAAAAATAAATGTTAAGCATATAAGACTTCTCAATGTTTTATAGTGTTTTTCATTGGTTTTTAACCTTAGGTATTGGGTTTATTCTAGAACTTACAAACATATTTTATTTCCTTAAACATTTTAAAATAAATACTTAAATTACAAATATTTTAACGAAATAAAATTTTGGTAAATTTCAAAGCATATTGCAAGTAAAACTTTTGAAATATACTAAATGTAAATGTGCACTCGAACAAAAACAAAACAAAAATAAAAAAAAAAAACAAATAATAATAGATATATATATTTGTAGAAAGACTTTTTTCCTTTTAATGTATATGTAATATATAAAATTGTTACCGTTAAAAAATCAATGAGTAGTTGATTCTTCTAAAGGATCTAAAAAATTTTGAATTGAATTATATAAATTCGAGGGACACCCTTATGGTATCGAACCCTTAACCTATTACAAAGCAATTTCTTGAATTATGTTGTCAATGAAATTGGTGTTAAAGGTAGCTCAAATTTAACCGAAAAAACCTTCTAATTTGCCAGAAAGTATCAGAAGGGTAGAATGCTGTGGAATCGATAGATGTCTTTAAATATAATATACATTAATAAATTGGTTCACAGGAAGGTAAAGTCGCAGTTACGGGCATAAAATTCTTTGAATAATGGGGGGGGGAAAAAAAAATAAAATTGAAAAAATGCTGAAAATTACAATTTTTATATTTCTTGGCGCTTTAAACCAATTATTTACTTCATTACAGATAATGATTGATTTGATTTTGATCAAATTCTATATCATGTTTCTTGAGATATTTTATATACCTGCCTATGATGAAGGATTTAGGTAACCACAGAGGCTGTTTTTTTTAACGTATAAAATACTTTATAACTTATACCTTCAATCTCTTGATTGAATTTTGTCCTTTGCATCATTTAAAAGATTTAACACTTTGAATGTTTCGTTTAAAGCAAGTGGAAAACCGTTGACAACTTTACCAAATCTTTTATTTAGCGCCAAATATTTATTGCTAAAAACTCTTTTTCTAATATATCTGATTTCATTTTTCTTATTCTAAAATAAAATGTTAGAACAGATAGAACTTAATAGTTAAAGAGTATACTTACATTTCTTTTATTCCAAATACAGATTAATTTTATTCTACTTATAATTCAATAAGTCTTTGGAATGTATATAAAAATATATTTTAATAACAAATAGTAATATTTATGTAAAATGTTTTTTACAGTGAGCGATTTACCGTACATAAAAAATACTTAGAAATGCAAATATTTTTAACGATCTATAATTATTATTATTATATTACTGAATTTATCATTATAATTTTTCATTTATAAGACTAATTTCTTCTATTGACATTTAATATGCATTATTTAAAATCTTCCAATTTATCATCTGTTTAGTTTCGTTGGCAAATATGAAATCATCCAGAGAAAATAGAAAAAAAAATATTAAGTCTATCTAGATAAGTGAATTAAATAAGTGTTCACTTCTATAAGTGGATGATCAATAAAAACATCAATAATCGAATATTTATTAGCAAATGTTAGTAAATTTTAGCTGGAGCAAATCGATTCAATGCCCCTATTATTTAGTACTCGTTTATCACTGAGTTTCATTGTTTCGAACGGTTTATCTTTCAATTGAAAGTACAATTTTTGTGCAATTAAATAAACAAAAAAAAAAAAAAAAAAAAAAAAAAAAAACAAAGAAAAAACAATAAAAAAAAAACAATAAAAAAATACGTTAAAAGTAATGCGTTTGCATCGTAATAGAAAAAGTAATATATAATGGAAAAATACATATTACCGTGTGACCGAGAGCCCAAGCGAGTTATTAGATTTTCAGTGGAATTCAGTAATTTTATAAGTTGTAACAATAGTCCAACATATATCGACATATTCACATTCAGTAAATGTTAGGTAAAGGAACGAACACTGGTCTGATGATGACAAAGTTCTTGTAATCCAATACCTACCCATATGCTGGAGAAACAACCCTCCAACGTTACTCGCTGGAAAGTACAGTAGCAGCCAGTTTTCTACATATTGTATACAATCTTCGCATACGCGTTCACATTTACCCACTTTATGACCAATATAAGAATATAAAGAAGTTTCTATATTGAGTCTGATAACAAAAGCGCCGAGAAGCAAAGAATAGCATTCGTATTTATATAATGTTTGCTATCGATATATAGGATTAGTTAATTAAATCGACCGAACGAAAAAGGCATTCTATGATACAATTATTTGCATTTAGGACAAACATTTATTACCACTATCGAAAACCGTTAGTATTAACTTTTATTTCTCTATATATATATATATATATATATATATATATATATATATACAAACATACACACGCACGCACGCACGCACAAACACACATTTAATCGATTCATATGGTTTCTTGAATTGTCCATCGCTGCGGTTAAATAAATTGACACTAAAAACAAAACTATTTATACTTAGATGTTTATTTATTCAAAGTAAGTTTATATAATTTTCATTGTTTATATATATATATATATATATATATATATATATATTAAATGGATCGAAGTATAACGTATTTATATCAAATATTGTTGTTTTAATTTTGCATATTACATGCGGTATTTGGAATTATGTAAAACACAATTTAATAGTAACTCTATTAGTGGAAATCAATATCTTGAATAAAATGCCAAAGCGTATTATTTACACATTAATTAAAATATCGTTGCATTACAACAGCTTTTGTGGTCGTATTAAAATGCCATTTTAAACTGCTCTTAAGTACTTGTAAATATAAGGGATACAAGACAAAACAAAAATTTAGTCATAACAGGATTCTTCTATTTTAAAAAGAGTAACATGAAAATACGGAGATAGTAAGATTGTGTATGCAGATTGTGGATGCAAACGGAAGAAATTGAAACATCCACAGAGTTGGCGTTTATAACGATTAGTACCTTTAATCACGATGGATTCAGGTCATAAGCATTACCGTCGCGCATAATTCCTTCAAGGAAATATGATCCCCTGGTATAAAGTAATTAAACGCTATTATCTTGTAAAGATGCTTTTTAATTTAAGGAGCTTAATGCAGACGATGTTTTTTTTACTGCTAATGTAATAATTGCTTCTTAGATAACCGAGGCCTTGAAATTATTTATAATGAAACTTTGTTTTTAGAAATGTATCCATACAAAACTTCTTTCTTTTTATTTCAACTACTATCATTATTATATCAATATGCTATCAATTACTATAAATTATTTACAGTCTGATTAAAGTAAACATATTTTTCTTTTATAAATAAATTCTTAATAAATAAATGTAATATTATTTATTAAATTTTAAAATGCTTATAATACTGAAAGTTATAGGATAGCAATTTTTTAAATGAATAATAATAACATTAAGGTTGTTTTTTTTAAATTAATTTTATATAATTATAAATTGAATGATTCCGAAAATATATTCATATACAGAAACAAAAAAAAAAAAAAATTTCGATTTTATAATTCATCCTTCGATCATTAATTTCTATATTAATTTAATTGTTTGTTTGTTTGTTTGTTTGTTTTTTTTTTTTAATATATCTGTCACTAACATAAATTTATTACTTACAGTAAGTAAAAAATTATAATGCTCAATATATAATACATATATAAATATATATATATATATATATATATATATATATATATAATATTATTAGATAATAAAATATTTGTACATCTTAATTTTTTTTTTTGTTTTTTTTTTTTTTTAGAGATAATTTTACTTGCAATTTCTTACAAGATGTCATAGATTAAATATAGATACTCTATATTTAAATATAGGATTTAACCAAGCAACTTAAACGTGCTTATATTTGCTAAAATTACTCACATAACAATATTATACACGATTTTTTC